GTCATATTTCGAAGGGGGCTTTGCATAGGGGCTAGGGTCAAATGAGGCCGCATCATCAAAAAATACATCAGGGTCATGAAGGCTAGTATAGAACTTGGTTTTGCAGCTTTTTGTCGAGTTACGAGTATATTGAACATAATTATGAACTTAAAAACCCTATTTGGGGGGTTCAGTTGTATGGGGGCTAGGTCAAATATTGGACCGATGTTATCCATTTTCAATAGGATCCGTCTCTAGTACAATAGAAGATCATGCAAAATTTCATTGAATTATCTTCAAAATTGCTGTAGTTTGATTACAAGGTTTACACGGACGGACGGACAGACGGAAGGACATAGCTAAATCGACTCAGAAAATAATTCTGAGCCGATTGGTATACTTTAAGGTATAGGACCAATATTATTGTGTGTAACAAACATCAGCACAAACCCAATATACCCTCCCCACTAAAGTGGTGTAAGGTATAAAAACGAAGTGAACAAATAAATTTATATGTGCTATGTGTATGGACTCATACCACTTTAAAAAATAAAAGGTTCAAATATGTATAAAATTAGCTCTGCGGAATTTTGTTTTGCATGAGTCAAAAATAAGAAAAAAAGATCGTAATTTTCAAATTAATGAAAATTATGGCTCAAAAAAAGAAAATAAAAACAGTTTTTTGACACAAATCCTAATCCCGAAAAAATCCCGGGATTTATTTTCCAAATCCCGGGATTCGGGATTTGCCAATCCCGAAAAATCCCGGGATTTTCGGGATCGGGATTTCGGGATTGGCATCCCTACAAAATACTGATAACGCTAAAATACCATTACCGAAATAAGCCAAAATACTGATAACGCTAAAATACCAATACCGATATTTCATTAAAGAAACACAAATTTCCAAAAATTGAATATCTCTTCACTTTTCAAATACATATTGTTACCATCACTGACGTCTATTTATTGACAACCTTCTTTTTATACTCATCATCAAAAAAGAGGGGGTGTATTAATTTTGTAATATGTAACACATCGAAATATTGGCCATAAACTAACAAAAGTATATACATATATATTCTGGGTCCTTATTAAATTCTTACCCTCCTTATCTCAATGTCTGGTTATATTTTATCGGTAGGTTAAAGAATATCTATAGGTTGAACGATAACCGGAGGTGGATTTCATCTCTATTTTCGCAGTAATGAGCATTAAATTGTTATTATGAAGGGGATCTTATAGGGGGTAAGGTGAATTAAGGACCGCTCCACATAAAATTCGGGTAAGAGATTTTATTCGCAAGGAACTTACGCGGGGTAATTTCATCGCTTTACTTGTATTTCTAAGCCAGTAATGAACGTTTAAGTAATTTATTGAAGGGGACTTTCAATGGGTGGTAGGGTCAATTATGGACCGATCCTCATAAAATTTGGTAGCGAGATTTTGGATTATATGAAACTTATGTGTGTTGAATTTCATCACTATACTATTATTTTGAGCGTTAAAGTCATTTATTGAAGGGGACCTTATATGGGGGGTCAATTATGGACCGATCAACATACAATTTGGTAGAGAGATTATGGATCATAAGAGACTTACGTATGTCAAGTTTCATAGTTATACTAGTATTTTTAAGCCAGTAAGGAGCGTTAAACTAATTTTTTGAAGGGGTCCTTATATGGGGGTAGAGTCAATTATGGACCGATCAACATAAAATTTGGTAGAGAGGTTTTGGATCATAAGAGACTTACTTATGTCAAATTTCTTAGTTATACTAGTATTTTTAAGCCAGTTATGAGCGTTAAAGTCATTTTCTCAAGGAGACCTTATATGTTGGGTAGGGTTAATTATGGACCGATCCTCATAAAATTTGGTAGGGAGATTTTGAATCACATGAAACTTATTATAACTTTCATCGTTATACTTGTACTTTTAAAATAGATATGTCCGTTAAAGCTGTTTTTCGGGGGTCCACTTGTAAGGAGGCTATCTGAAAACGTGGACCGATATTGCCCATTTTCAATACCAAACAAACCTTACCAATAGAGAATATTTGTGGAAAATTTCAATCCACTACCTCGTTCTGTTCGGACTCTATTATGCTTTCAACAGAGAGACTGACGGACACGCGGACAGGCATGGATAGATCGTCTTAGAATTTAATAAGGACCCAGAATATATATACTTTTGTGGGTCTATGACCAATATTTCGATGTGTTACAAACGGAATGTCAAAATCACTATACCCCCCTTTTTAATGGTTAGTATAAAAAGTATGTAAAACAATAATACCAATGTTATTTTTTGTATTTAAAAGTTTGCTGATGATGTTCCACTGCATTTATGAACATATTTTTAATTATTTAAATCATTCCGAAATTACCGCTAAAATATATTTTTTGTACACTACCGATAACGTTCAAATATCAATACCGAAATAATCCAAAATACCGATAACGCTAACATACAAATACCGAAATAAGTCAAAATACCGATAACGCTAAAATAAGCCGAAGTACCGATAACGTTAAAATACCAATACCTAAATAAGTCAGAACACCGATACTACTACCTTATCACCGTTTCGAAACCGTTGCCAACCTTGGTTAAATGTCATTGTCCGGCACAGACATGACTTAGACATTTGGATGTAGTTTTTCGATGATTTCAACATGGAAATTCATGTTTGGATATATTGTTCCTCTAAAAATAATAGTTTAAAAGACATGTGTTGGTGGACCAAATCTTAATTTTCCACCATTACTTCTGGGTTTGGAATTTTATTACATTATGGCTTATTTCGCTTTCTAAAATTTAGTATTCCCATTTAATATTAAATATAATACATTTTTAGAATGACATAACAATATTGTTTATATTTTATGCTTTAAACATTTTAGTTGGTATTTTCTTAGTACATCTACCAAAGACACAGATGAGTAGGATATTTATGTTTTGGAGAACGCTGTAGCTGAGATCATCGAAAAACTGGACCCATACAAAAAATTTGCCTTACAGCGGACATATACCCCAATAATATTTTCTGCAGATAATATAGTATTAACTGTATAATGCTAGATCAGTGATAAAACATTCTCCTGAATATGTAGAGGTCAATACTTTCAACATTTACAAGAGTATTTGCAGCTACAAATCCACAGGAAGCCTCTGGGGTCAGTTATACATTTTAGGAGATTAATGGGCAAACATCGAAATAGTTATCCATAAAAAGTTCATATTTAATGTCAGATAGACTTACATAGAATATATAACCCAAAAAATACCCTTTCGTAAAGCAATTTAATATTTTATTAAACATTTAAATCCATCGTTTGTAGACTTTTGTGAAATTCAGAAAATTTAAAAAAAAATTATTTTTTTTGGAATAGAAAAACGATGTCTTATGATTTATATTTCTCAAAACATAACATTTACCAAAATGTAAAAGAATTTTTTATACCCACCATCAAAAAAGATGGGGGGTATATTGATTTTGTCATTCCGTTTGTAACACATCGAAATATTGGTCATAGACCCACAAAAGTATATATATACTTATTAAATTCTAAGACGATCTAGCCATGTCTGTCCGTCTGTCCGTCCGTCTGTCTGTCTGTCTGTCTCTTGAAAGCACGATAGAGTCCGAACGGAGCAAGATATGAAATTTTCCACAAATACTCTCTATAGGTAAGGTTTGTTTGGTATTGAAAATGGGCAACATCGGTCCACGTTTTCGGATAGCTCCCATACAAGTGGACCCCCGAAAAACAGCTTTAATGGGCATATCTGTTTCAAAAGTACGAATATAGCGATGAAATTCGACATAAATAAGTTTTATTTATATATTATCCAAAATCTCTCTGCCAAATTTTATGAGGATCGGTCCATAATTGACCATACCCCCCATATAAGGCCCCCTTCAGAAAATTTGTTTAACGCTCATTACTGGCTTAAAAATACTAGTATAACAATGAAATTTGACATAAGTAAGTCTCTTATGATCAAAAACTTCTCTACCTAATTTTATGTTGATCGGTCCATAATTGACCCTACCCCCTATATAAGGTCCCCTTCAGAATATGACTTTAACGTTCAATACTGTCTTAAAATAACGAGTATAGTGATGAAATTCGACACACATAAGTTTCAATGATGCAAAAATCTCTCTATCAAACTTTATGTGGATCGGTCCATAATTGACCCCATATAAGGTGCCCTTCAAAAAATTACTTAAACGATAATTATTGGCTTAAAAATACAGAATACAGAAAAGCGATGAAATTCGACACATATACATATTTTTTATACGAGTTAAAGCCTCTTTACCAAATGTATTGAGGATCGGTCAATAAGAAAATTACTTTAACGATCTTTGCTGACTTAAAAATACGTGAACAGTTATGAAATTTTATATAAAAAACATTTATAGGAACATAAATCTTCCTACCCAATTTCATGCGGAAAGTGTCGGGAAGTGATATTCGATATAAAGATGTTTTGTATGAACCAAAATTGGTCTAAAAATTTTTTATGAAAAACGGTCAATTATTAACCCTATCTCATATAAGGTCCTCATCAGTTAATTTGATGAGTAATATCCTTTTAAGGCATACGGTTTGATGGTGGGTATATGAGATTCGGCACAGCCGAATATAACACTCTCACTTGTTATTTTTCTTAAATACATCGGAATATACTGAACAGAAATATCGTTTGTAGACTTATGTCGCATAGTGTAGTTTATTTCCTTTTTAGTTTTACTGTGAGCGTGTTTAGGTAGACTGACGGACATAGCTAATTTGACTCATAATTTGATAAGGATACGGAATATATGCATATACTTTATTGTGTCTTAGATGCATATTTATATGTATAATTACTTTTAGCAAAATAATTGAATTTATTTTAAACAAATTTAAAAATTTATAATTTATTGTTGATGAAATTTGTTTGTATATAATAAAAGAATGCCTTTATTTATTGAGTCTATTATATATTGACAATTTGTGTTTACTTACCAAACTTTGGAAAATCAAAACATGTTTCTCCTGATCTTTGTAAATGCAACAAATGGTTTAGCCAGGTGTTCATTTCATCTTCTGAATCCATAACAATTCCAAATCCACCTTCTTTTGATGCAAGTACAATAACAAAATCATGCTTTGTGTAAAACCGGCGATTAATATTAAAACAATTTTTAATTTTAATTATTCGTTTCGGAGTAAAACCCGATTTATATTTTTTTTCAGTATCATAGTATTCTATTCGTGCTACCTTACATGGAGTTTCGTTATACAACACAAAAAATTTTTTCTTCATTGTCTTTAACTTTTTGTAATACCCGCAAAGCAGAACACCATCATCATTTAAAGCTGATAAACGTTGCTTCGACATTTTGTTTTCTATAAAAAATAAGAAATAATATTTATTACTATGCAGGGACATTTTTTTAACTGTACAACAGTCATTTTCACAAATAAAAAATCTGTGTCTACAGGAAACTGTACGGTCCACAGTACAGTTGTTAGATTATTTTCTACCTTCGACACCAAATTATATATCACAAATCGCCAAAAATGCCAATCTAAAATTTGTACAGACTTTTTTAAGAAAAAATTCGACAAATATAGCCAAACCAGTTTGGATTCATGAGGAACTAAATTAAAACATTTATTTGATTTTGAACTTAAGGCCCTCATTTCATAAAACGAAACGACAAACGTTCAAAAAAATTTGTATGCAAAAAATTCAAATTTTCAAAAATTTCCCAGTATGTATTCTTCATACAAATTTTTACGTTACGTTTTTTTTTTGAAATTAAAAAAAATATATAATTTTTTTTGCTTAAAAGATAGCTTAAATTTCCCTTAAGGGTTTTACATTCCCATAATGGGATGCGAGTGGGATATCTGTCAAAAAAACTATATTTTAACTCAAGAATAAAATTTTTTTGCAATAAAAATTATTTTATAAACAAATATGTAAAAAAATTTTTTTTTAACATTTAAATTTTTTTTGGAAACAACGTAGAAATAGCTCTCTGAACTCCTATGAAAAATGTTTGGTAGAACCAATTGGTGAAAAGTTACACTCATTTGAATAAAACCCTGTATGACCAAAATGTCCAACTTTGACCCCTTCTAAGTCCGGCAGACATCGATTTTTAAAGTTGGGTCACACGAAGTGACCCATATATAAAAAATATATTAACTCCTAAAGCTAAGTTTTTGAGTTAAAATATTATTTTTTTTTCACATATGCCCCTTGCATCCCACTATGTGACTACAAAGCTCATAAAGGAAATGATCCAACCTTTCTTTTGAGTAAAAAATACAACAAAAACGTCCATTTTGAAAAAAACAGGGGGAAATAAGTGCCAAATATTGAAAAAAAGTATTCCTTAGTTAAAAAAAAAAAAAAAAAAAATTTTAATCAAATTGATACGGGTTTGTGCATTCTGTTTACGTTTTTATAATAATTGTAAAAGAATCAAGAAATTTAAAATGTTAGGAACTCTTACACCTATAGAAATCAAACTCATTACATATGCTTATAAAAACAACCCAAATTATTGATTTTCATAATGAGCTTAAAAGTTTAAACTCAAATTTGCCTGTTAAAAATAAACATATTTTAAAGCTAATGCCTTTTCTGGATGACGTTGGTATTTTACGTGTAGGCGGAAGATTAGAAAATTCTAATTTAAATTTTTCTACAAAACATCCTATATTACTTGGTAAAACTAACCCATTGTCAGCTTTGACTATTCTGGAATCCCACCAAAAAACCTTGCACGGAGGTTTGACGTTAACCATGTCCTACGTTAATCGATAGTTTTGGATTATTTCAGGTAATCAAATAGCTAAAAAGATAATTAATAATTGTGTTCGTTGCTTTAGATATCGAGCCAAAACATCTCAACATCTCAAACAAACAACCTTCGGTTCGTGTTAATATGATCAGACCTTTTAAACACAGTGGCGTGGATTTTTCCGGTCCCATTCAACTAAAAAATTCAACACTGCGGTCGGCAGTAGTATCCAAAGGATACATTTGTTTATTTATTTGTATGGTTACAAAAGCCATACACTTAGAAGTGGTGTCGGATCTTCGCACTAACGGATTTCTGGCAGCATTTCGGCGTCGTTGCCAGAAGAACTTCGAAATTATTTGTCTCACTCTGGTACAAACTGGCATTTCATACCGCCAGCCTCACCCTATTTTGGAGGATTGTGGGAGGCTGGCGTAAAATCAGTCAAATATCATCTTAAACGCATTATGACTGATCGAGTGTTAAGCTACGAAGAGCTTTCAACTTTGTTATGTCAGATCGAAGGTTGTCTTAACTCGCGACCCCTTTGCCCTCTATCTACGGATCCGACTGATAATGATGCCTTAACGCCCGCACATTTTCTGTAGACCGTTTGTCTACAAGAAGAAGATCTACTTGATGTTAATGATCAACATTTACCACGTTGGAAGGCTATAAAGAAGATGAAGCAATCATTTTGGAAGAGGTGGTATTCCGAATATTTAAACCATTTACAGTCAAGACCAAAATGGTTAGACAATCTACGTACTATACAAAAAGGAGATTTAGTTCTTATAAAAGATGAAAGATGTGCACCAGGGTAATGGTCTCTTGGAAGAATTCATGAAATCTATCCTGGTACGGATGGACACGTAAGAGTTGCATCAATCTTATCGAAACACAAAATTTTTAAAAGACCTATAACTAAAATTTGTTTACTCCCCACAGGTAATATCTTTTCGCCTAAAAACGTGAATTCTTCAGATCAGGATTAATTATCCATAAAATGTAGGCTTACATAACTCGCTGTGAGTAGAAGCATAGCGGAGTCTATAGGACTCGACTAAAACACTTCCAACGGTAAGACTGCATTCCATTGGGTTTAAGAACTGTAGTTCTAGGGGCGGAGTATGTTGCGGTATTTAATTATAATTGTTATATTTACATATTTATTTTGTTCATTAATTTACCTAACACGCTGTAATTTGATTGTTGTTATATTGATCGAATTTAAATACTCGCATATTCTAACTTATTGAGTAAATTGGATATAATAAGCTTATTACCCTTTGACGAATAATATAAGAGTTTGCTTTTGAGTAGATCATTACTTGCCATATGTATATACGTACCTACTTATATATTCTTATTTATTCCTATTTTTTGCCTATTAAAGTATCCCGTTAAATACTTTATTATTCTGGATTTATATATATTTTGTCAGGAATGAATTGTATAAGAAATTTTATATTTTTTAATTGCTCTTGAACATTCAAGAAGATCGGTCAGTTAGTTGGTTTATACGCTTAATAAAGATAAATATTTTGTACACTGTTTCCATTCTATTTTATTCAAATTAAATTCTATAATACTCACAATAATAAGGTACGGTATTTTGTATATCGTTAGCTTAGTACGCAAACGTAACAAGTCCTCTTTTGTAAATTTTATAGGAGAAGCAAAAAACTTCATAACTTTTCCTTTATTTTATATTTCTAAAATCTGTAGACGCAGTTTTCTTCTTAGATTTCTCCTTATTTAATATCAGTTGTGAAACAATTTAAAAATAATACTATTTAATACTTATGGCGATTTTTTTAGGACTTAGCACGTTTTCTTTTTCTGAATTTTTATTTTTTGTTGGACTTAGCACATTTTCTAATAACTTTGTCCTTACGTACATGTTCTATTTTGAAGATAATCCTATATCCTATATATATATAACACACTGTTTGTTTGTGTGTTTGTTTGTTACGCTTTCACGGCAAAACTTCTGAACCGATTTACATGTAATTTGGACCGCTAATAGGTTTAGCCCCAAAAGGAACAATAGGCTATATAAGATCTTGATCGGATGCCACGCCCCTTTTTACGCCCACTTTTTGTAAAACTATTATTACACCAATTTTCCAATCACAATATGCAAAAACTACTAAACCTAAGTACTAAGTACTAAGTCTGAAAAACTATAGGCTATATATAAGAGTGATCCGATGCCACGCCCCTTTCTACGCCCACTTTTTATAAAATTATCCTTACCTATATATTATCCTATAATTATATGAAAGAGAATGTCTGTTTGTTACGCTTTCACGGACAAACTACTGAACCGATTTACATGAAATTTAGCAGGGTTTCAAAAACCTGCTAATTGCAGTCGCAAATTACTAAATATTTGACTAAATTTAGTACCATGCTTAAAAAATAGTAACTCGTTAAAATTTCCCCTTACAAGCTAACTGAAGTCAGTCAACACATTGCTGCAATAACTTGCAAGTGGTTTTGTTTTTCTTCAGCAGCCACACACACAAGCAGCGGCCATGTTAAGTTTTTCAACTCAGCCGAACTGAACACAACGACTGAACAGTAAAAACAGTTTTGCGTGTGCTGCTTACGTATTGCTTAGTTCTTGGTTTCGTTTTCTTACTAAGGGACGTAATAGTTTGACTGGTTAGTACAAATCAAGCCGACTGAACAATAAAACTTGATGGGTTGTTTGTTCATTAAGACTTTGTTATTGTATGCAATTTGTTTTAGTATATTGTATGTTTTTGTGTTTAAATTTGACAAAAGTAAACAAAGTAATTGATAATTAAGAAATTGTTAATAAATTTAAAATTTATAAAATTATAAATTACTATACTTATAAATTTAGATATTTTCTTTAAATAAAAATTGATTTAAATTTAAGCATTTTGATGATTTTTTAGTGAGATTTTGTTATTGTATGTATATATGTATATTAGGGTGCACAGTGGGGCAGAATGGAAATTTTTTGGAAATAAATCTGGCATTTCTAAACGGCTGATCCGATCGGGATAAAATTTGGCGTGAGCGTAGCCAAGGAGTATTCGAGTTTAAGTTTTGAAGATGAACCCTGCAGATGCCCCAGGGACGGCGCTGTGGCGGCTCAAAGTAGGGTACCTACGACATGTAAAATTTTTAAACTCGTGCCATTTTTTTGTTTTTCACCCAAATACAAAGATTATATTTTGTGAAAGCGCTCGACGAGATCTTGAAAAAACATGCTTGGACATACTACTTATCTCTTATAATATCCGAGTTATAGGCATTTAAAAATTTAGTGATACAAAATTTACCATACCTTGGTCCGCCTTTTTTTGAATACCGGGCGTAATTTTGGACCAAATGGACTCAATTTTTTCTTTTTAGTTAGACAACAAAATTTCCAATAATATACAAAAAATTTCAGATCAATATCGTTTACAGATCCAAAAATATACGTTTTTTAATTTAAAAATTCAAAAAATTTTAGATTTTTGGCGTTTTTTTGCCAAAAATGTGTCTTAACTCTTTTATTAATAAAATAAAATTTTTATTAAGAACATATAACAATTTTATAGTTTTCTA